TACTAGCCAGACCCAGTCTGAATGTGTCCACACCCCAAGCCTTCTGGATAAAGGGGTCAGCACCTGTCTGTGTGGCCACTCCCACTTCCCTGCCCTTTGGACCGCACCCCTCCTCTGGTGTATCTGCCCAATCCCTGTGAAAATCCTCTGTGTGCCTATTACCTGCTTGTGTATCTGGGTTCAAGTGTGTTTGGGGATTTGCTCCCATACAGACTTTTGTGAATCTGGCCCATAAGGTCTTAACGTACTCTACAACAGAGCAAACAGGCACCTGATCTTAACACCGCCATTTAAACATCCCTTGATTATATAATTTTCTTAGGTGAGTAATGATTCTGAGACCTTCAGGTGGGATTATATTGATTATCTATTCAAATAAGAGGAGCCCCTGAGACCATTTTAGAAGTGTATTTATGATGGCAGAGCTGGTTGATTTTTTTCCAAAGGAACAGCTTTCTGTCAGGAAATGTGGAGTTAACCAAATCTAAACCTTCTGTGGGAACACAAGAATTCTGTTCAAATTTTCAGGGGAAAATGTTGATAAGGTCAAAACATTTTCTTCTGATATGGTCAAAATGGTTGTTTCGATGTTATCATTTTGACTGTTCTATTGTATTGCGGTGGGTGTTGTGTTATGATGTTCACTTGACAAAGTTTAAATGGACATATCAGCCTTATTGAAATGAAAAGTCTCTGATTTTTCCAAAATGAAATTGTCTCTGGTGCCCTGGGATTGAAGAGTGGGAATAAAGCAGAGAAAACTGTAGTGAGCCTCAAGTCTCTGTGTATAATCTAGAGTCTGTGATTAGCCAAACCTTTTGAGTCCTCCAGTGTTCTCCTTTTTATTCTGTGCTTGGAGATGGAATATGTCACCCTCTTATTTCACGTTTGACACAACATTTGAAATGCAGACAGTTACATCCGCAACAAACGGTAACTGCAATGCACGCTGCAGACAGCAGGGAGGTTTTTGTATTGGTCTGTATCATTGTGAGAGGGTAGCTGCCACACTGCTGGCAGTAATAATCTCCAGCATCATCTGCTTCTACGCTGCTGATGGTAAATGTGAAATCAGTGCCAGATCCACTGCCGCTGAACCGGGCTGGGACCCCCGACTGGAGGCTGCTAGCGTAGTAGATAAGAAGTTTGGGAGCTTGTCCAGGTTTTTGTTGGTACCAGTTTAGGCAAGTACAAATGCTCGTACTGGCTTTGCAGTTGATAGAGACTCTCCCTCCCACTGGCACTGCCAGAGATTCCGGGGACTGAGTCATCACAATTTGCCCGGAGGAGTCTGGATGAAGAGAGAAGATGAGTAGGGACTGAACAATGATACAATGCTGGAGATGACGAATATTCAAATACTAAAACACAGTTTGAATTTGCCATTGTGACTTGACACTACAACACAACACATAGAACATTAATTCAATGAATCTGGTGGCAACATTTCTTATGTTCTGTCACATGGATCATTACATTTTCAAATTCTTTGTTTTCAGTTTCTTACCCTGAATCCAGAGAATCAGCAGCCAGTGAAGGAGCGTGTGTGAGATCATTTTGCCAGACTGTGGTAGGAAAGGTTTGATCATAAACCTGCAGTGGAAAATGAAACGCTTATAATTTATATGTGCTCAGCCGCTGAGTGAGAAAAACCTCATTCGTATGCAAAATACATGTAAATTTACTGCACTCGAGTTGCAGCACAGAGTTGTGAAATGTTCCTATTTGGCTTTTATCCTGCGGCTGCTTCATTTTTGAATGTCGTCTTCATGTATTTCCAGGGTTCTGATGGTAATATGCTCAGACAGCTCTGCAGATCTTGCATGTACTTAGCCGATGTGACACATCTCCCCTGGATGTTCACTTGGGCTGTGCCACCCTTATCTGACATGAACCTTCATTTCACCCCTCTCCATCCAAGTACTTGCCAGCTGTCATTAATTCCATGACCTTGGAGGGTGCCTTATCTTTCTTAGACAAAGCAGGGATCCTAAATGGCTGGTCTCACCATCTGAGTATTCCCTGTAACATCACTCGTAAGATGTCACCTGCTGCTTGCTGGTGACAATACTTCCATCATATTTCTGTTTTTAGAACTTCCATATATGGAATCTATATGCTGGAGCTCTATGAAATTACTTCCTGCATGTAACAGACTGAATTGAGAAGTACCCAAAATTAAAAGTGTCTTGCACATAGTGACTGTTGAACAGATGGTCACTATGTTACATACCACGCAGCACATGGGGAGGGTTTTGTATAGGTGGAACCGGGAAGGGGTGGTTGCATTAACTACCATGGACACACTCGTGCCCATTCATGTGCACACATCCTTTGGGGTCTCCATGCTCTAGACTTGCCCAGATACCACTTTGAAAATCCTGTCTAGGCTCATCTCCTCCTGTGTCCCACAGCTCATGTGCATTTGAGGCTCAATCCAAAGCTCATTGAAGTCAGTGGGATTCTTTCTGCTGACATGAGAGCTGTGAAAAATTGGCCCCACAGGTCTTGTCTTGTACAACGCTACAGAGTGAATGTTCATCTGATCTTAAAAAATCCATTCAATATAGGAATCCTGTAATTTGAGTAGCTACGTTTGTGAGAAACCTTCACAATGAGATTTTTATAGTGTCTGTTGGTAGGAAAGGAATGCTGCAGGCAATTTTTGAAATGCATTCCTATAGGAATGAAATTAATGTATTGTATGACAGGATCCTTTTTAATTGGCAGATAGGAGGCAAAGCAGCTGTTAACGATTTAGACTGAAAGATAAATCAGTGTCGCTGATGCATTGAGATTCATGGGTGGGATAAAGCTAGAGAGATTTTCAGGATTCCTAATAGAAATGTCTATGTGATCAGCTAAACACATTGGGTAGTAATTCAGTGTTATGTTTTTTTACCATCTGTTAGACTGTAGGAGGAAATGGCAACTAGAGCAGGGAGGTTTTTGAAGTGCTCTGCATCACTGTGAGAGGGAAGCTGCCACATTGCTGGCAGTAATAATCTCCAGCATCATCCGATTCAATTCTACTGATGGTGAGTGAAATCAGAGCCAGACCCCTACCACTGAATCAGTCTGGGATGCCAGATTGCAAAGAGGAAGCCCCATTAATAAGAAGCTTAGGATCTTGTCCAGGTTTCTGTTGGTACCAGTGTTTGCAATGGCCAGTGTCTGTCCTGGCTTTGCAGTTGATAGTGACTCTATCTCCTGCTGATGCTCACAGGGATTCTGGAGTTTGAGTCATCACAATCTGCCCAAAGGAGTCTAGGCATAGGAAGAACAATGGGTAGGGAATTGAACAATGATACAATGTTGTATAACTATACCAAGCTTTACACTGAAACACTTTTAAGTTGCTAATATAAGTTTGTTAAAATGCAACAAAAATATGAAGTGAATTCTTCAGCATTTTAAAATGTTATTCTATTAAGTATCTACCATTCAAACCCTTGTTTTATTTCTTACCCTGAATCCAGAAAACCAGCAGCCAAAGAAGGGAAGTGTGTGAGCTCATCTTGACACTTTGAGATTGAAAAGGTTTGTCAATTATTCTGTAGGAAAAACATGTATAAGTATTCATCAGCTCAGCAAGGCAGTGTCCCCCATGTGGGAATATCCAAAATACTTATAAATGTCCTGCACTTTAGTTCCAGGGCAGAGATTCGGGATGTTAATATTTAGCCTGTTAGTTTCATGCTGCTATTGTCTGTTAGAATTAAAGTTATGCACTTGTAGGATGTAGATGCTAATATAGACATCTCACTGGATTTTATATGTGTATTTATTGATCTGACATGTCTCCACTCAATACTCACTCATGCTGTACCCTCAGTATCTGGACATGCACTTTCGTTTCAGCTTACTCCATTTGACCACTGTCCAGGTTATTTGAGTGATGACATTGGTGGACACCATTGCCTTCTTCAGCAAAGCAGTGGTGCCAAGTGACTGGCTTCCCCATCTGAGTATTCCCCACAACATCACCACCATGGCACCTAATTTGTCACAGACCGTAACGTGATCCATAGAGGAGATAAGGGGCCCTCCACTCTCTTTGACTCCAGTGGGAATTGAAGTCACACACAGAATCCTCTCAGCACCTAGCAGGATTGGCCCTTCCCAGCCATAGAACATCGGGAGTGCAACTGGTATCTGGTGTCCTGTGTCATAGTGGGAACCACATAGTGATAAATAAATGTGACGTGAGTGGCTGAGGTTTTGGATCTGTGACTATCTCTGACCTGGTAACACCCAGACAAACAGCACCCTGATCCCACTGGCACAGTCAGAACTCGAGCTAGGTCTGGGGGTTTATTCCAGGCCACTGGATGGTTTCCGTGCTCCCATTAGAGCAGAGGTACTGGGATTGCACAGGTAAATGTTTGGTTTAATTATTGATGAGGAGCAAAGGGGAGACAAGGAGAAGATCATTGCAGCAAGGGGCCATGGACACTGATAAATCAAGGTGCAGCAGCTACACTGACAGTATGATGATCTTCACAGGAAGTAGCACTCACGGCGCCCCAGAACCGGGAGGTTGTTGTATTGGTCTGTATCACGGTGAGTGGTGAGCGCTCAGCCTGCAGACAATAGTAATCTGCTGTATCATCGGCTTCAGTGCTGCTGACTGGGAGAGTGTAATTGGTACCAGAGCCACTGCCACTGAACTGGGCTGGGACCTCAGAGGCAGGGGAGGAGCCATAACAGATAAGAAGCTCAGGACCTTGTTCTGATTTCTTTTGGTACCAAGAGATGGTCACTGCCAAGGCTAGAACTGGCTGTACATCTGATGGTGACATTTTGTCCTGGAGACACTGAGAGGGATTCTGGAGACTGAGTCATAGTGACGGACCCAGAGGAGTCTGGATTAATTATAAAATATAAATAAATACAGATAAAAGGTCACTGGTAGTCAGCAATATTGTGTGTTAATAAATGATTGACAATTGCATCTTTAGATAATGGCATTAAGTGGATCATATAATACATGTTCACAATCATTATATTCTAGCCATGACCTGATGAATGGGTTATTTAATAGCCAATCTAGCTACAATGATTCACATTTTAAAAATATCAGTGGATCTTTGTGCTTTTAAGCCAGTGCCCTCCAGTTCTGATTCCTACCTGGAATCCACAGCGCCAGTAGCCAGAGGAGCTGAGCCTGGGAGAACATTGGTATGTCTGATCTGGCAGGTGCTGCTCAATGAACCGTGGAGAGTGGAACAAAAAATTTTATAGCCCCCAGAGCACCAGGGCAGCGTCACTGGGGAGTTCACATGCAAAGCAGCCCCTGTGTGCGGGATCCTGGCCTCCTGCTCTGACTAGACACAGAGCTGGTGAGGATATAAGAAAATAATGGGGCAGGATTTTTTTGTGGAAACTGGAATTTTTAACAGATACTGCAGCTTTTAATTGGTGCCACACATTTTACTTGTGTTGTGATCCCGTGTGCCAGGTCTGAACACCACTCACTAAAAGGGAGCAGCCAGGCCAGATCTATCTGACTGAGTGGCATTGTGACCTGGCACCCGGGGTCACAACACCATGCAAATTTATCCCAGCTCCCATAGGTGGAGGGCAGCTAGGGGGGCTCAGCTCCTCCAAATGTGAGACACCCCGCTGCGTGCAAGTACAGCCCAGCTCGGCAGACAAAGCTCCATGTCTGGCAGTGCCAGGGCCGGCTAGGTGCTGAGTGGCCTGGCTGTCCAACAGCAGGACAAGCAGGGAGACTGTCTGGAGCCCGGCAGCGGTGGCATGGCACGTCCGTGATGCCCAGCATGGTGCCGCAGGTAAAGCCAGCCCTGCGAGCCAGTCCTGTCCATGGGTTGGTTATGGAGAGTCCATCCCCAGTCCCTGCACGCAGAGCTGGGGCTGGAGCCAGGGAGTGAGCGAGTGTGATAAAGGGAGAAGAGGAGAGGGTGAAGTGGCTGTGGAGGAGGGAGCCAGACACAGCCAGACTCAGCTGTGGCCCCCAGCAATGCCACACAGCTCGCAGTGTTGGACTAGATTGGTAACTGGTATATTTCTGATCTGGGAAATGTAAGAAAGAGTGACTCCACAACAGACCCCAGTATGTGGCCTGACCATTAGAAAGAAATATGTCTCTTGGCCTGCTTTCTCAACCCGCTGGGTTTGTGCTAATTGAAACAGGCCTGCCAGTTTGCAAGGTCTGTGCTAATTGTAGAAAAACATTCAGAGACAAAGTTTGTCCTAGATAAGATAACAACATGTTCCAAATGTGTTTTTTTCTAAACTCAGGAACAAGATTTGTTGTTCCTCCACTTTTACATTCCTATCTTGCTTGTTTTCTTTTCAAGTGGCATGGAGAGATTCATTGGCGTCTGTCATGCCCCAATGAGTTGAGAATAGTTATGTTAAGTGAAATAGGGTGTGATTGTAAATGTATGTTTGAATGAGTAATAAAAGATTGAAGTGCCAGCCTAATAAATAATAACTATCCAGGAACATTTGGCCGCAGAATGCACAGGATGGAGATAACTGGATGACCCCATAGGGCAAACTGGAATCCACCCCCAACTGCCCCAAGGACGAAGGGGCCGAAGAACAAGATAACAACAAGCCATCACTGTTGGGCCATCATGATGAACTATCACTTCAAACGTGAGAACAGTGATTGATCATCGCTTCAACTGTGAGAACAGCATGTCAAAGCAAACCCTATAGATTTGAATGAGGATGAATCCCTATAAAGACAGACTCTGAAGACTGAGAATGTTGAGTCTGGTTCTGCAACCACCCTCCAGGAGCATCGGATGCACATCTGACAAGACTCGGCTCCATCCTCGTGTCCAGGCCACCTGGCCAGTGGCTTAGCATGAGCCACTCTAAGGCTGGTAACTATGATAATAACAACCTTGCAGAACCTGTGTGTGCATGAATGAATGTGTGAATGAGTGTGAAATTGAATGGAATGTTATAACTATAACTGACTGCTTACTATGATTCTTTCT